GTAGTAATCTTGCTTGTATCTGTGCTATATTTTAACATACAGTCATTCGCTTTTGTAAAATGCTATCGTACTTTAAAAATAAAGTATTGAAGAGCTCAAATCGCAAATCGTAAAAATTGGTTTTCTGGATGGACATAAAATTACAAACCTCTTCTTTATCAGATCAATGACTTTGGTGCTTGCAGTGTTCACTTAGTAACTTACATAAGGGGTTATCGAGCGTAATGAACATCTTTTTGTAATTAGGATGACAGAAGCAATAGACGGCCTTTTAGGCATGCGCAGTTCTAGATTGTCTGCTTGCTGTAATCCGCGACATGGTACTGCTGTACAAAATGGATATTTTTCGTAATAGGCTTGTCAAATAGTCTCACCATGAAACTTTTAGCGAAATACGAACTTTTGACTTGCAGGAAGGACAGGTGTCGGAATTCCTGTTTCTTGTCTTTCTGTCATTCGGAACAGATCAATGGAAAGATTGAAAATGCCATTTGTAGCATTCTTCTTTTAAATAGTTTAGACGTAGTCACCAGCTCTTATTTTAGAATTTACATTCAATCGCGGACACTTTCGACAACCTTGCTGGGATTGAAATTAGCGTTTGTAAATTGACGTTCACTGCGTGAGTTTTCCTGTAATTTTTATCTGCGAGATCACTCGTCTAAAATATGTATTGAAATATAAGTTGTGAGGGATCCAGTGCGAGCCTCCTCAAAGTAAAGATAAAGCTGTCAAGTTAGATTACTAAATTATTATGTGTTATTGCAACTTTTTTCTCTTTTATAATATTAGCTGGTGCTTTTTTTGCTCAAACACAAAGGAAGTTTTTTAGAATTAAAAGAGTAATAGCCTGCCAAGATGCGCATGTTAGATAAGATGTAAGTGAATCATTTATCTAGGCATATCAATATTTGACCGCGTCAATTCTTGCCTTAACTCTACAGTTCTTGTTCAATGTACTCACAAATGCTGTTTTGGTATGCCCATTCATTCAGCCCATGTGCCCTAATTTGACAAGTGCTTGTATGTCTAAATTTTAAATATAATCTTGTTCTTTTGAGATAGCAGCACCTTCAACGAGGTTGCTGCTATCTCAAAAGAACAAGATTATATTTAGAACAACAGGCATTCCCAAAAAAGTGCCTGCTTTAATAATCATTAACTCATCTATTTCCAAGCCCTTTCTAGATAAGGGATTAGCTTGAATCGAAATTTCCAGTAACGAAACAACTTTGTAATTGTGTTGACTTCAGTATTAGCTGTTAAGTTGTAGGTGGCTTCAGGGGCTCCCGTAAAGCGTTCCGTTTCTTTGATACAAAACCTTGTGGCTTTGAATGTTTTTATATCCGGACTCAGCGTATAATTAAAACATTAATCAGTGAGAAGTCTCCATTTTTTAGGGCTATATGTAGGCTGATACAGAAAAACCCCTCGCCATTGATTATACTCACATCTTCGTAGATTACTTAGCATTTTCACTTTACATGTAT